GAGAGAGACACAGTCCCAGACCCCAACACCCCAGCGCTGGGTGAGACATTATCTGGACAGGACCGTTTTGATGAGCGCCTCTCTCATGTACCCAGAACCCATCACCGTGGTCGCGGTCAGGCCTGCTGGACAGCTGCCCATACAAGACCAAGCCTTCAACCTGTCCTGTGAGGTCACGGGTCCCGTGGTGTCCAGATCCTGGCTGAAGGACGGCCAGCCTCTGCCCCCCAGCGACAGGACGAGCTTCTCCCAGGACAACAGCACGCTGTCCTTCAGCGCCGCCCTGCTGTCCGACGACGGCCTCTACCAGTGCGCGGCGTCTAACCCCGTCAGCAACCGGACCAGCCCAGGGTACCAGCTGCTGGTGAACTGTGAGTACTCACTTCCTGCCGGCTCCACTGGGGGGCGCTGCTGTACACTCACCACTTGTCTGTTATCATCATCTGGTTTCTGCTCAGATTGCTGCCTGTCTAAACTAAGAGTAGAAGTTCAGGGACATTCTGAGCTGTCTGCTGCAGTGATTGTGCAGGGTGGTGTCAGCGCGTACACATTTCACAGCTGTGCTGTGCGACTTGCAGACGGGCCTGAGACGCCAGTGATTGCGGGACCGCAGGAGGTCCAGACGGGCCGGACCGTCACGCTGAGCTGCTCTGCTGCCTCCCAGCCTCCCAGCCTGTACTACTGGTCTGTCAACGGGACGCGGGCGGGCGAGGGGTCGGTGCTCCAGATCGGACAGGTGTCACCCAGCAACACGGGCCTGTACACCTGCACAGCGCGGAACACAGTGACCAACAGGACCAGCTCTGCAGAGAGGCGCCTCACTGTCACAGGTAATCAGTCACACCTGAGAGAGGCTGGACAGGGAATCAGTCACACCTGAGAGAGGCTGGACAGGGAATCAGTCACACCTGAGAGAGAGCTGGACAGGGAATCAGTCACACCTGAGAGAGGCTGGACAGGTAATCAGTCACACCTGAGAGAGAGCTGGACAGGGAATCAGTCACACCTGAGAGAGAGCTGGACAGGGAATCAGTCACACCTGAGAGAGAGCTGGACAGGTAACTAGGCATACCTGAGATTTGCTGGTAATTTAACACACCTAAGAGCTACAGGTTTTACCATGAGCAACATGCTCTAAAGAGCTGCACAGGAGTGAGACAGCAGTGTCTGATCCAGCACTCAGAGTGACAGGCGAGAGGAGAGAGAGGAGTGTCTGATCTGGTGCTCAGAGTGACAGGAGAGACAGGAGAGACAGGAGTGACAGGAGTGACAGGAGAGACAGGGTCAGTTTAACTCCCTGTAACCCCTCGATCCTGCAGGTCCCCCCTCGGGCTCCCCGGCGCTGGCTGGGACAGTGGGCTTCACGGTCACAGCACTGCTGGGCATCTCCGCTCTGATCCTGATGGGGGTGCTGTAGAGCAACGGAGGTACGGTAATCAGCAGCTGTCCTGTCTCTTCTCAGGACTGTCCAGGGTGTGCTGACGTCTCAGCCCCACAGAGCGCTGGCCTTGTGCCAGGGTACAGATCCCTGTCCACCTGGTCCATCAGACAGTAACTCTGTTCACAGTCCTTCAGGGTCCCTAGTCTTCAGTCAGGGGTTAAAGGTCACTGTGAATCTGGGCTCACAAAGACACAGTTCAGTCCGCCCCCTGTCCTGGAACTGGGCACCTGGCACTGATGCCCTCTCATAGTCTCCCTTAGCCAACCTCGCCTCTGTGTCTTCGGGCTGGAATGTGGCCAGCAAGGTACAGTAAACCATGTTCATTCCAAAGAGAAACCTGAGCCACAGTCCCAAACCCAGGCTCTCGTGTGCCAGACTTCTCCGTGCCTGGAAACCTGAACTTGTAATTATCCTGGCTCTGCAGGGCCCGATCTGTTAGGATGAGTAATGATGGCAGAGCTGGCTGTGTTGGAGCCTGTCGGGAAGGCGATATGAGAGACAGAGAGAGCACAGAGGCCCAGCTCACCGCAGGGACACATGTCTTCTGTACCTCCTGCTCGGGTCTGGAAATTTCCACGGCTTTCTTACAGTGAAAGAGGTCTGCCTGTAGAGGGCCCTAGTGAGCCCCCCTCGGCCCCGAGTCCAACTACCTCCATCGGTTTACACATGGCCCCCGTAGCAACATCGGGAAGAATCAAGCACAGCCCCCACCTTTACACCACGGGCGGCGGGGGTCTGGAACAGGCTGGAAACAGGGGCGGACGAGGGCCCAAGGAGCAGGAGGAGTTTCTGTAGCCCTTCTGTCTCGTGCTCCCAAGTTCCCAGCCAAGACATTCCCTCCCTCCCGGGCCTGCTACACGCCGAGCTCTGAACTTTGACCTCTCTCTGCCCAGGCTCCGAGAGAGGGAGACGGCCGCCGTGGACGGCAAGACACACCGGACCCCACCGGACCCGCGTGACCGCCCCGGGGGTCAGACCTGTGCCCCGGCCCGATCCACCGGGGCAGAGCTCAGGCGGGCCGCCCTCCGCCCACAGACCCTAGCCGGTGGAAACTAGCTGTAGGACTGTAGCTGTGCGATGGACAGAGGGCAGTGAAGGGTTTCTGACTGGAGCCCTTGTTGTCGTGGCACTGAAATAAACTTGCAGGCGAAGGCCAGACCCTGTGTCCTCCGGCTTCCTTTTAAGACTCTGCCATCCCTGACTCGACTGGACAAGCGTCTCCAGTAACACACTCGCACTCCCAGCATGCTTGGATTTCATCTTTATTCACCACTGCTTTCAGTAAGGGAGTTAGTCAGAGGCCAGAAGCGAGCAGCGCTGTTAATGTGGTTATACAGTATATAGCATACAGGTCAGCGGGCGAGGTGGGTCTCACTGCTGTCTGAACCTCATTGACCAGCAATTTCTCTCCCATCACAGACAGACACACACTGTAGGACAGGAGACACAGTGAGAGAGAGGAGATCACAGAGAATCCCTCAGTAATAAACACACAACAGGACAGGAGACACAGTGAGAGAGAGGAGATCACAGAGAATCCCTCGGTCATAAACACACACTGTAGGACAGGAGACACAGTGAAAGAGAGGAGAACACAGAGAATCCCCCAGTCATAATCACACACTGTAGGACAGGAGACATAGTGAGAGAAAGGAGAACACAGAGAATCCCTCAGTCATAAGCACACACAGCAGGACGGGAGACAGAGACAGGCAGCATGTGGTTGGCGTTGATTATATGGGGGTGCTGTACTTTGGGTGCTCCACTGTTTGTGCGGGTCCATTCAGACTGAGTTTCTTGCACCTCTTCCTCATCTTCCCCCTCTTCTTCACACACATCCGAGCTGGGGGACAGAGAGAGAGGAGCAGGTGAGTGTGAGAGAGAGGGGTACAGGTGATAGTGCAGACAGCACAGCGCTGGCGCTATCTTCACAACCGCAGAGGAGCAGACACACACACACAACCCATCACAGTGACACACACACACACACCCCATCACAGTGGCATACACACACAACCCATCACAGTGACACACACACACACGCACACACACATAAACCCCATCACAGTGACACACACACACACAACCCATCACAGTGGCATACACACACAACCCATCACAGTGACACACACACACACGCACACACACATACACCCCATCACAGTGACACACACACACAACCCATCACAGTGGCATACACACACAACCCATCACAGTGACACACACACACACACGCACACACACACAACCCATCACAGTGACACACACACACACCCCATCACAGTGGCATACACACACAACCCATCACAGTGACTGACACACACACACACACACACGCACACACACACACACCCCATCACAGTGACACACACACGCCCCTCCCTGGTCTCACCGAGCCTGTCCTTCCGGCTGGCTCTCTCCAGGGCTGGGCAGATGCACAGAGGCGTGGGGATGCCCCCCAGGGCCGTCCCTGCGCAGAGAGAGCAGAGCAGCAGTGTCAGCCCAGAGCGCCGGGACCCCCGCCCCCGCGGAGGGGCTGGGTCCGGCGGCGGTGGGACCGCAGGGGGATCCGGGCCAGGAGCTCACCTGCGCACTGGCAGCCCTGTCCGCGCGCCGCTGCCCGGACCCGGCTCCGAGTCCGCGGGGATCTCCGGACAGAGCCTGGCGGGAGGAGGAGAGAGGAACAGAGAGGTGGAAAGAAGAGGAGAGAGGAGCAGAGAGGAGCAGTAACTATAAGTTAAGATAAGATAAGATCACTTTAGGGAACAAGTAACAGGTTTATTCCCTGCTGAAAAAAAGAAGAAGGTGTCACCTGAAGAGGGCTCCATGGCCGAAACGTTGTGTTTTCATTCTTCTTTTTCTCAGCAGGGAATAAACCTGTTACTTGTTCCCTAACAGTAGCAGTATTAGCAGCAGTAGTAGCCGTAGCAGTAACAGTAGTTGCAATGGCAGTAGTAGTAACACTAGTAGTAGTACAGCAGTAGTACATTAAATGATGGTGACTGGTTCTGTGTGCGTTTTATCAAGCTGTAGGAAAGTGAGTTCCTCTTCTTCATGGATAACTGTTAATAAACTGGAATAAATAAAGAGCTGGAGCCCAGATCTCTCTCAACACAGAACCAGAAGTGAAAAGCTCGGTACCTTGGCCCGGCTCAGTGAAGAAGGCCAGGGCTGTGAGGAGGAGGAGGAGCAGTGCTGTGACCCTCATGCTGAGCTCGGTCCGGTGGGGTCCGATCCGCAGTGCCGCAGTGCCGCTGTCGCTGTGCTGAGAGCAGTGTGGGAGACAGAGCTGGGGGCGATGGGCCTGCCCCCTCCCTGCACACGCTGTGCCGCGGGCCTGTCCCGACAGGAGGCCCTGGCAGGAATGCGAGCTGATTGCCTATTGAGTGGGGCTCATGCGGGCTGCAGGTGCGAACACTCAGGCAGCGACCCGATCGGACCTCCTGCCTATCAGCGGCGCTGGCAGAAACCAAACACCTGCCTTCTCACGCATCCTGTCTCACACTGAACCCACACTGTCCTGTAGCAGCCCACACAGTCCCGAACCCACACTGTCCCGAACCCACACTGTCCTGTAGCAG